TCCTGAGTAGCCTTGATTACAGGCAAGAGTGAGCCACTGGGCCCATGTTATCCTTCATTTATTTAAAGAGAATATTAATTTTTGTCTGGGAGCTTTTTGCTGACTGTGGGTATCTGGGTGCAGACAATCCAGATAAAAGATTGGGTACCCCAACTCTTTTTTTCCCCTTGGATGTGTTTTGTGAACAGTATGGACAATTTGGTGATTTTTGTCCATTTCTGTTGAAATTAGCTTTCATCTTTCTGAAACATCGGCTTTGGCTTTTTGCTTTTTACTCAAGGCTAGCGTGTTTTACCTCTTGAGCCACAACTCCACTACTCCTTTTTGTTGTTTTGTTTTGGTCATTAGAGATAAAAGTCTCACAAACTTTCCTGTCCTGGCTGGCTTTGAACTTTAATCCTTGAGCAGCCTGAATAGCTAACATTACAGGCAAATGAGTTACAACTGCTAGCCCCTACCTCCAGGCTCCAGTCATTTCTTGTCTGGCTATCTGGGTTGCACCTCAAGCTCCTGGGTCCAGCAGTTTTGCATAAAGACTTCCAAGAATTGCAGTCCTCCACCCACCTATCCTTTGAGATTCTCCCCCCCACCCCCAGCCAGTAACAGGTAGTTAGTAAAATAGTCCAGTCTGAGGCAATTACTGTCTTTGTTCATCCTTAGGTGGGGCCTTCCTCCACTCTAAGTAGTTTACAATCAGTCAGCCATCACTGACAAATAGCCTTTAATGTTGGATGATAAGTTAACTCCAGGGACTCTGAACTTCTACCGAAATCCTATTTTCTATTCCTTGGTTCTACTTGAATCTGAAGGGAAAAAAAAAAAAAACAGTTCTGTGTAGGCCAATAATAAACATTTTAAAACTATTACCAGGCCACAAAAATCTACCCTCAAGACTTATTATTTAAAGAGAAACGTACATTGCATTCTCAAACCTACTAGAATGAAATGCTAAAGAGTCACTAAACTAACATATGCAAATATAAAAAAATATTGGGGGGCTGGGAAGTTGGCTCAGTGGCAGAGCGCTTGCCTTGCATGCCTGAGGCCCGGGGTTCGATTCCTCAGCACCACACAAGCAAAAAGAAAAAAGCTGAAGTGGCGCTGTGGCTCAAGTGGTAGAGCGCTAGCTTTGAGCTGAAGAGCTGAGGGACAACGCTCAGGCCCAGAGTTCAGGCCCCACGATGAGACCCAAAAAAAAAAAAAAAAAAAAAAAAAACAAAAAAAAAAAAATATTGGTCAGGGATCAAAATAAAGTCAATACTGTTTTGGTGAAACAACTCCTATGAGAAAACATTTGTTTATTAATCCATAAAGCCAGAATTCAAAGCTAATGTTTCAAAATTAACTGGCTTAGGAGATTTTTTTCTTTTTCTTTTTTTTTTTGTGAGTTTCTGGGGCTTGAACTGGTAAGTGTAGTCTATCAGATTGTTAACCATTTCCTTGATTTTCAAGTGTTGGTGGTGACCTTAATCTTAACTGAGCTCAGTAGGAAAAATGGAAGTTGAATAAAAAAAAATCACCAAATTGCTCATACTCTTCCTAGAACACATCCAAGGAATACAACAGAGAAATCTCTCAAAGAGAAAGGTTGGGGGTACCCCAATTCCCATGTGTGCCCAGATAGATACAGTCAGCAGAAGCTCCCAGACAATTTCCCTTTAAACAATTGAAGGATGTGATGGGCACCTGTGGCTCATGTCTGTAATCCTAGCTACTCAGGGGGGCTGAAATATGAGGATCTAGGTTCAAAGCCAGCCAGGCAAGAAAGTCCTTGAGTCTCCTATCTTTAATTAAACTGTTCAAGTGGTAGAGTGTCAGTCTTGGGCAAAGCACACATAAAAGTGAAGGCCTTGGGAAAGAGTCGGGAGAGGAGCAGCTTGGGGGCTGGGAAAAGGTTGGGAGTTATGTGTTAAGGATGGGAGTTAAGTATTAAGAATGGATCCACGAAGCCTTAAATTCAAGCCCCAGCACCTCAGACTGGGAAGAGTGTAGGAGTAGTGAGAATAGGGTTGGGGGAAGTGAGTGCATCATATTCTCTTGTAAAATGTATGCTAATATGTCCAAAATGATTATGTATGCTAATCTGTATTAAGATGATGACAGCTTTGCTCTGGCAGTGAGATTGGAGTGTACACAGGTTTTTTTTTCCCTCTTTTTTTCTTTGTGGGGCTGGGGATTGAACTCAGAGCCTCAGGAATGCTGACTAATGTTCTTATCTCTGAGCTATACCCCTGCCCCCTCCCATTCTTTTATTTATTTAAATGAGATTGTATTCTGGCTATTGGGAATGGAGCCCTGTCCTGCCCGAGCTAGGCAATTGCAGACTGAAGAGTTTACATTCCCCAGCTCAGTTCATATACTCTTTTTTTCTTTTGTGGAATTTAAGTCAGCTCCACAAACACCTCTGAACCACCCCCAGTCACCAATAAGTCTTTTAGCGTTTCAGTTGTTTGGAGCTAAGTTCCATATTCCATGGGTTTTAAATGATTCTAGTGGATGTGGCTCAGAAGAAAAGTTATTTTTTATTTTATTTTATTTGATGCTGTTCCTAGGGCTTGAATTCGGGGAGCCTAGGCACTGTCCCAAGCTCTTTTTTCCCTTTCTTTGTTTTGTCCCTAAAGGCTAGAGCTCTACCACTTGAGCCACTGCTCTACTTCTGGCTTTTTAATTGGCAACAAGAATTTCACAAATTTTCCTGCCTTAGCTGGCTTAACTTTGCTCCTTAGACCTCTGCCTCCTGAGGTAGGTAGGATTATAGGCAGGAGCCGCCAGTGCTGGACCAATTTCCTATTAACAGATAGGATGCTTTGATTTTTTTTTTTTTAATTTTAGTAGAAATAGTCACGACCGGCATGCATGAAGGACAGATTGCTCAGTTGATCATTCTCCTTAATTGTTTTTATTTTTAAATTTCAGAGCTTTGAATGGATCACAGAAAGGAGTGAAGTAGCTGCTTTGTTTCTCTAAATTGCTGAGTGCACGTTCCAAAATGGCAGTCACACCTTCATCCCTTCTGTCTGGTACTTCCCTGTGTAGATCCACATACTTGAATGATGAAGAGAACCCCCTTTTCCCCATAGAGGGGCTGCCTAAAATGGGGCAGATTACCCCTCTGAGGATTGGAGAGGAGGGGCTGAAATGGAGAGGGAGGAGGCAGATTTGGGTGGGGCAGGGTGGACCCCAGGAAAGCCCTGTTTCTTTCACCGAGGTTTAAGAATTGGATTGTTGGCAAAGCACACAAGCATGGGACACAGCAGGGAGAAATCTCAGGCTTGTTATTATATTATTACCTTAGAGAGAAAACAAATTGGCCTTCCTCCATTATATTGATCTCATTTGTGAAAACTGAGATTTTGTTGTTGTTGTTGCTGGTCCTGGGGCTTGAACTCAGAGTCAAGGTGCTGTTCCTGAGCTGCTTTTTCTCAAGGCTAGTGCTGTACCACTAGAGCCAAAACTCCACTCCTGGCTTTTCCTGAATAGTTTATTGGAGATAAGAGTCTAATGGACTTTCCTGACTTGGCTGGCTGAGAGCCACCAGTCTCAGATCTTACTTCCTGTCTAGTTTGGATTATAGGTGTGAGCTACCAGTCGCTAGCTTGTGTTGTTGTTGTTGTTCCACTCTGTGGCTTACCCTCAGGGTACTGTCCTCTGAGCTCAAGGCTAGTATTCTACCTCTAGAGTCACATCCATTTCTGGCTTTTTGGTGATTAATTGGAGATAAATCGCACAGACTTTTTCTGCCAGGGCTGATATTGACCCTGTCCTCAGATCTTAGCCTCCTAAGTGGCTAGGATTATAGGTGTGAGCCACCAGTGCAGGACGGGAAATTGAGACTCTGATGGAGTGGGAGGTGGCTTTTATTTCCTGTCTCTAGTGGGGCTTATGTTGTATGCCTTCGAATTGATTTGGATGTGGTCCATGAGCTAAGGGTCAATTGTGAGCATGCTCTAGAACAGAATTAAGGTGCTGGTTTTGGGGGCCTGGGTAGGTTTCTTTTTTTCTTTAAAAAAATTTTTTTGTCAGTCATGGGACTCAGGGCTAGGATGCTGCCCCTGAACTTTTTTGCTCAAGGCTAGTGCCAGGGTAGGTTTCTAGAGAACGTTAAGCTCTGCTTATACTCTGTGGCTTCTTGCCAAGAACATAATCCATGCCCTGACATATGTCCACAGTATAGGAGTCCTCACCAGAGCCTGTGTCCTGCTCATTGAACTTCAAAGCATCTAGATCCTGAGCTCAAGAACATTGTTTACTTTATAACGTGAGCTGGACTTAGATGTTTTCTTATAGCGCCCCCAAACCACTAGCAGGTTCAAGGCTGTGGGGTATGTTATATTGTGTGTGCATACAGGCTGATACCTTATTTCCTACAGCTCCATCAGTTCAAGATCCTGCTTCTATGTCAGAGTGGATTTCAAATGTGGGAACCCTTCCCACTGAGTTACAGGTGAGAATAAAGCTTTATTTTCTCTCTATTTATTTTTTTGCTGGTCCTGGGGCACTGTCCCTGAGCTTTTGCCCTCAAGGCTAGTGCGCTACTACTTTGAGCCAAATTTCCTCTTTAGTTTTTCTGGTGATTCATTGGAGGTCTTTAAGAGTCTCACGGACTTTCCTGCCCAGGTTGGCTTTGAACCTCCATCCTCAGATCTCAGCTTCCTAAGTAGCTAGGATGACAGGGGTGAGTCATTGGCACCCACAATATTTTTTTGCCAGTGCTGGGGTTTGGACCCAGGGCCTGGGCACTGTCCCTCTACCACTTGATCCACAGCACCACTTCTGGCTTTTTCTGCTTATGTGGTACTGAGGAATTAAACCCAGGGTGGCTTCATGCATGCTAGGCAAGCATGCTACTATTAATCCACATTCCTAGCCCATAGCTGTGAATTTTATGTATCACACATACAAAAATGGATGTGGTCATGGTATGGGGTGGGTGGGAGGAATGTATTGGCAAAACTTGAGTTTCTCTCATCATTTCCTTGGGCTCAGGGCTGAGTGGGACCATGGAGCTGGAGAAGAATGCAAAAACTTTCAAAACTCTCAGGGTAGGGATAGAGATAACCTGCCTTTTCCTTGTGTAGCTTTAAATCCTGGAGGCTGGGAAATTGCTTAAGCAGAGAGGAGGCCATGGGGAGGCTGGAGCCCAGTCTTTGAATCTAGTCTCTAGGAAGCTGGTCAATGTTGTACTGAACTTGAAGAATCATTTGCATGATGGGCATGTGGTGTGTTTGGAGCATGAGCAGGGATTTATGCAGAATATTCTTATGTGGGTGTTTTAGAGTACAATGACTTTTGAGGATGTGTCCGTGGACTTCACCAAGGAGGAGTGGAAATTACTAAATTCATCTCAGAGAAAGTTCTACAGAGATGTCATGCTGGACAACTATAGGAACTGGGCCTCTGTAGGTAAGACAAACCCACTATGGCCAGAGTCCTCATGCCTATGTAATAGAGACCAGATGTGTGTGTGTGTGCGCGTGTGCGCATGTGCACCAGTCCTGGGTCTTGAACTCAGGGTTTGGGTGCTGTCCCCAAGTTTTCTTGCCCAAAGTTGGCACTTTACTACTTGAGCCACAGCTCCACTTCTGCCTTTTTTGCTGGTTATAAAGGTAAGAGTCCCACAGACTGTCCTGCGCTAGCTGGCTTTGAACATCCGTTCTCAGATATCATTCATCTTGAGTAGCCAGGATTACAGGTGTGAGCTACTGTGCTTGGTTTGAGATCATTTCTGTTGTCAATTGCACATATGCCTCTCTGTCCATCCTAGGGGGACCTCTGGTCAGCAAACCTGCTCTGATCAAATGGCTAGAACAGGAAAATCAAATGGAGGCAGAGGAGACAATTCACCAAGACTCCTGTCCAGGTGAGCACTGAGCACAGAGAAGATCTGCTCCATATGGGTGTGGGGAGGGGTTTCCTTATATAAAATGCTACTCAGAAAATGAAGAGAAATACTTCATAAGGTTAGGGAGAAACATTGAATGTGAGCTTCTTTCTTTCTCTCCCTCCTTTTCTTTCTTTTTCTTTTCTCTCACTCTTTCTCTTGTTCTCTTACTTCCTTTTCCCTCCCTCCCTCCCTCCCTCCCTTCTTTTCTCCCTTCCTTCTCTTCTCCTTTCCTTCCTTCCTTCCTTCCTTCCTTCCTTCCTTCCTTCCTTCCTTCCTTCCTTCCTTATTCTTCTCCCCCCATCTCTCTCTTGCCAGACCTGGGACTTGGAACTTGAGTGTCTGGGCATGGTACTGCACTTGAGCCACAGCTCCACTTTTGTCTTTTTGCTGGTTCATTGGAGATAAGAGTCTTAGGGACTTTTCTGCCTGAGCTAACTTTGACCCATGATCCTCATACCTCAGCCTCACATCTCATACCTCAGAGAAAGAGCTACCCATGCCTACTCACCTGTTATTTCTGAATTACCTGTGTTTTGAATTTCCTACGTTCGGTCCTTCATTCTCATATTGATTCTCCAATAATGGTTTTCTTTGATGAATAGAATTATTTTCTGTATGTGATAAACAGCATGTCATTGTGGGGGACATGTTGCAGAGGAATGTAACTTTACCAAAGTAGACAGGAAACAGACACACTCCCATGACCCACTTCCTCCAATCAGGCTCCACAGTCTACTTACCATTTCTTCATAGTCCATTCAATTTTGGATTTGTCAATGGATTAATGCATGAGTGAGATTTGTAATCTCAGTGACTCACTTCCCCAAACCAATCATGGAACCCGAGTCTTCAATTTAAAGCCTCTAGGAGATTTAGATTCAACCTATAATACAAGTTACATTTTCCATTTATTTAAGATTGGGTTTAGTCTTTATCTATCTGCCTTAATTGTTTTTGTCAACATGATATATTATTCTCAGTTTTAAAGGGGTTTGTTACATGTGAGCAGCTCTCTGTCTTCAATCATAATGGAAAGTTCCAGAATTAACAGAATTTATGTCTTAAGCATACACAATTTTGCAATAGTGCCGCAGTTAATGTACTTTGTTGAGATGACTTCATATCATTTGCCCAGCCTGCCCTCTAAATTTCTCGACTCAAAAGCATATCTTCTGTCTCAGATTCCCAAGTAGGTAGGTGAGAATCCTGTCCCAGGCCTGGACAATTCTGAATAACATAATGAAATCTGTGCCATTGCATTCTGTCATAATCGGTCTTGGATAGAAATCAGCTCTGTACTCTAACCCTACTTATATTGATTATCCAACCTACAATTGGGGTGTCACAGCTCTCTGTGTATTAAAGATCTTTGTTGTAAATAGTAGTCAAGAATAATGATGCTAGTGGTTTATAGATATACCCTGTGCAATGGCAAAATTGTGTCATAAGAATAAGAAGAAATGTTATAGCTGGGCACTGATGGTTCATACTTGTAATCCTAGCTACTCCAGATGTTGAGATGTGAGGATCATGGTTGAAAGCCACCTTGGGGCAGGAAAGTCATGAGACTCTTATCTCCAATTAACCATCAAAACTCTGGGGCTGTGACCCAAATGATAGAGTGCTAGCCTTGAGCAAAAGAGTTTAGGGACAGCGCCCAGGCCTTGAGTTCAAACCAAACAGGAAAGTCCATAAGAGTCTTATCTCCAGTTAAGCTTGAACTATGACTAAAGCCTGGAGTGTTAGCTTTGAGCATGAAAGCTGAGGAAGAGTTCCCTTGGCTTGTGTTCAAGCCCCAGGACTGGCATAAACAACAAAAAATACATGGTGCCATATATAAAGGTTCAGTTCTCTACAGGTTTAAGCATCCATTAGCCCTATTGGAACTTATTCTTTGGGGCTGGGGTAGTAGAGTGACTACTTCTTAGTATCATATCTTTTTTTGCCAGTCCTGGGGCTTGAACTCAGGGCCTGGGCACTATCCCTGAGCTTCTTTTGCTCAAGGCTAGCACTCTACCACTTGAGCCACAACACCGCTTCTGCCTTTTTCTGTTTATGTGGTACTGAGGAATCAAACCCAGGGCTTCATGCATGCTAGGCAAACCCTCTGCCACTAAGCCACATTCCACCTCCATATGTTTTTTAATTGAAAAATTGTTATAAAGGTGATGTACAGTTACATAAGTCAGAATAAGAGTTTATTTCCTTTTGGCCATTGTCACCCCTTTACTCACTCTCTCCCAGTTTTGCCCTCCCATCCCCACTTACAAGTTTTATATAGTTCATTTTTCACATAGTGTCCCGTGAGTGCCACTGCTGCATTTGTTCACCCTTTGTCCCTCCAGTACCCTCCCAAGGACAGATACATGAACAAACAAGACAGAAAAGCATACAAAAATAACAAAGAAAAAACCCTCTTATTTCCATTTCCTGGAGTTTCTTTCAATAGATATTATTTTATATGATCAGAGCAACATAGGCATTGTGCCTTTGTGTTCCTAAGAGTGTTCTCCTTTGATCCCATTGTGTGTGAATGTATAATGTGACCTGTATAATTTGTCATGTTCCAGTGTAATATAATTTCTTTTGCAAAATTTTAACTTTTTTTTTTACCTCACCCCTAATAAATACAGGTGAGATGAATCTCTTGGTGACCCAGCAGCCACAGCCTCCTCGAGATAGTTTGAGAGAAGAAAGACTCCGCAGTAAGAAAAAGGTGAGAATCACACACTCTCATTTCCTGCTCTTCCCATGATCAGGCCAGCATTCCAGTCAATAGGGAACAAATCCTTGCACCAAAGGGTAGACTCAGAAAAATGTTACAAGAAAACAAGAATAGCCTGGCACCAGTGGCTCACGCCTGTAATCCTAGCTACTCAGAAGGCTGAGATCTGAGAATCACAGTTCAAAGCCAGCCGGAGCAGGAAAGTCCGTGAGACTCTTATCTCTAATAAGCCACTAGAAAATCGGAAGTGGTGCTGTGGCTAAAGCGGTAGAACGTTCGCCTTGAGCTGAAGAGTGCAGGGACAGCACCCAAGCCCAGAGTTCAAGCCCACAACCGACCCCCCCAAAAAATAAAAGAAAACAAGAAGGTCTCTAAATATTAATTTGAAGGACAGTCACAACCCTGGTACTAATAGTCTTTATGGAGAAACCACCACAATAAATATTCTCATAAATAGAGATAATCTAATTCGAAAATGAAACAATGTGTTAAAATTGTATTGAGACATCCCTAGAGAAACTCTGTGGTATTCATTTCATTCATTCATTTAGTCAATTAGGTGAGAAACTAATACTAATCTCTCAATTTGTTTTTTGGTTCCAGTCCTGGGGCTTGAACTCAGGTCCTGGGTACTGTCCCTAAGCATTTGTGCTCAAGGCTACTATTCTACCACTTAAGCCACAGCTCCACTTGTGACTTTTTATTGGTTAATTGGAGATAAGAGTATCTCAGATTCTTCCTGCTCAGGCTGGCTTTGAACCTCCATCCTCAAATCTCAGCCTCCTGAGTTGCTAGGGTTACATGTATGAGCCACCTGTGCCTGGCCCTTTTTTCTTTTCTTTTCTTTTTTTCCTTCCTTTCCCTTTTCTTTTTTTTTGGCTTGTTTTCTTTTTTTAAATTTATTTATTTGTTTAAAATACATTATTTATTGTAAAAAATATTGTACAGAGGGGTTACAGTTACATGAGTACATTTCCTATGAAGCATTGTTACCTCCTCCTTTGTTTTGCTTATTTTCTATGATTAAAAAAAAAGGAATCAAACCCAGAGCTTCATAACTGCTAGGCTTGCCCCTTCACTACCCAGCCACATTACTCTCCCCTACCTGGCCATACTTTTTGCAAGGGTTGGGAGAGGACCCTTTCCATGAAATGGATGAGGTAAATGATGCATCTGTTGTTTATGTCCATCAATAGGAGTCAGCACAGGGAAGCAGTTCCATGGGAGGTCTGGCCTCATCCCAGACTATGCAAAGCCACTCATCCCTTGACTTTGCCAATGACCTTGGAGATTGCTCCATTTTGGAGGAATGTGAAGGAGATGAAGCTTCTTGCAGCCTGAGCACTTCAGGAGTTAAGCCCCAGAGGAAGGCTCAGGGAAGCATCCAGTATAAACGTGGTGATCGTGGGAAAGTCTTGAATTCTACCCCACGTGCTCAGGAGCCGAAGGCAGCTTGCAAAAGCAGCACACCACTGGCCTGCCATCAATGTGGAAAAACCTTCCCAAACCCCTCAGCTGTAAAGCTGCACTTGAGGGCCCACATTAGGGAGAAGCCATTTATGTGTCAGCATTGTGGCAAGGGTTACTGCTCAAACTCTTACCTTCGAAGACATGAGAGGATCCACACCGGGGAGAAGCCTTACAAATGCCGGGATTGTGGCAAAACCTTCAGGGACAACTCACTTCTCAAACAGCATGAGGTGATCCATTCTGGAAACAAACCGTACAAGTGTAGCCAGTGTCCCAAATCCTTCTACCGGCGTTCAAGGCTCATGGGCCACCAGCTCATCCACACCCAGAGGGAGAAAATTTATGCCTGCGATGCCTGTGGGAAAACCTTTGCCATGCTTTCTTACCTGATGAAGCACAAGATGGTCCACACACGGGAGAGGTACACATCATGCCCCCAGTGTGGGAAGTTATTAAGTAGTCAGAAGTGTCTGATGATTCACCTGCGCATCCATTCAGGAGAGAAACCTTTCCAGTGCATTGATTGTGGGAAAAGGTTCAGGGTGAATGCAAACCTCAGTGTACACAGGAGGATCCACACAGGAGAGAGGCCATATGCTTGCAATCTCTGTGAGAAAACCTTTCGGGAATGCTCTGCTCTGAAAAGACACATGAATAGCCACACAAGAGAGAAACCCTTTTCTTGTACCCAGTGTGGGAAATCCTTCCGGTATAAATCAAATCTCAATTTTCACCAGAAGAATCATGGGAATCAGCAGTCGTATGAATGTCCATCATGTGGGAAGCTCTTTAGGAGTCTCTTGGTCTATAAGAAACATCTGAGTATTCATGCCCGGGGGAAAAAGGCTTTCAAGTGTCATGAGTGTGACAGAGATTTTAAGACTAATGTACAGCTGAAGACACACAGGAGAATTCACACCAAAGAGAGACCATATGGCTGTCTGTACTGTGAGAAAAAATTTCGGGTGCAGAGTACACTGGCCGCCCACCAGAGGATCCACACTGGCGAAAAACCTTATTCCTGTCCTACCTGCAATAAAGTCTTCACTTTTCTCTTCAGCCTCAAAAGACACATGAGGCAGCACACAGGGGTGAAACCCTTTAAGTGTCATCAGTGTGGAAAAGCCTTTGTGATGCAATACTATCTCATTTCTCATAGCAAAATCCACCTGAGAAAGAAGCAGTATGAGTGCAAGGAGTGCCGGGAGGTTTTTAAGAGTCTCCTAGCTTATAGAAGACACCTGAAAATGCATACCAGCAACAAGAAGTTGTATCTGCTGGGCATTGGTGGCTCACGCCTATAATCCCAACTACTCAAGAGGCTGAGATCTGAAGATTGCAATTTGAAGCCAACCCAGGAAAGTCTGTGAAACCCATCTCCAGTGGACCATCAGAAAACTCCAAGTGGTACTGTGACTCAAAATGGTAGAGTGCTAGCCTTGAGGGAAAGAGCTCAGGGACAGCACCCAGGCCCTGAACTGAAGCCCAACAACCAACAAAGTGGAAGTTGTATTGGTTGGGAATGTGGTTTAGTGGTAGAGTGCTTGCTTAGCATGCATGAAGCCCTGTGTTTGATTCCTTAGTACCACATAAACAGAAAGGGCCAGAAGTGGCACTGTGGCTCAAGTGGTATCAAGTGCTAGCCTTGAGCAAAAATAAGCTCAGGGACAGTGTCCAGGCCCTGAGTTCAAGCCCCAGGACTGGAAAAAAAAGTCATATCAGTGTCAGTAGTGTGGCACACCTGGCTACACACATGCATATTCACACTGGAAAGAACCGTAGAAGTGTGGAGCTGGGCGTGGGAAAGTATAATCTCACAGGCTAACATGGCAGAATAGTACTGAATGCAGTGTGAACAGAGGAGGTCTTCCGCCATCTCTTTTGAAGTATTGCAGGCCATCTTTAGGGTTGATAAAAAGCCTCACTTTCAGTGAGCACTATAATTATCAACAGGATGTACAAGACAGTGACAACTGAAAAATGATGGATATGTGAAAAGAATATGAGAGAGCCTGGTGTTGAGAAATATCCTTTCAGGGCAGAGGGCGGGACTGCAAGTCCCATTATCTGGTAAAAGAAAAATTATTTATATGTTCTTCACTTCAGAGTAGGTAGTAATTCCACTTAAAAGGAGATTTATGGGGCTTGAATTCATGGCCTGGGTGCTGTCCTTGAGCTTTTTCTTTTCTTTACAATACTGGTGCTCTGCCCCTTGAGCCACAGCTTTTACTAATGGCTTTTTGGTGGTTAAATTGGAAAGTTTCACAAACTTTTCTGCCCCAGCTGGCTTTGAATTGAGATCTTCCCATCTCAGCCTCTTAAGGAGCTGGGATTATAGGCATAAGCAACCAATGCCCACCTAAAAGGGGAATTCTTTGTCTTTTAGAAATGAAGGTAAGGGCTGGGAAGGTGGCTCAATGGTAGAGTGCTTGCCTTGCATGCATGAAGCCCTGGGTTCAATTCCTCAGCAGCACATAAGCAGAAAAATCCGGAAGTGGCACTGTGGCTCAAGTGGTAGAGTACTAGCCTTCAGTTGAAGAGCTGAGGCACAGTGCCCAGGCCCAGAGTTCAGGCCCCATGACTGACCAAAGGGGAAAAAAAAGAAATGAAGATGATGTTTGGGAAAAAAGTAAACACCTAAAATTTTAAGCCACAAGTTTCGAATGTGTGTTTGGGTACAGGAAGAGAAGTTTGTAAATTAGGTTAGTTTTAAAAATTTGGTGTGTTGCAGGTCAACTTGAGTAGCAGTTAGACATTATATATATATATATAACATGTGTTAGACAAAGCTTTCAAAATTAGGATATCAGCCAGGTGCTGGTGCCTCATGCTTGTAATCCTAACCACTCAAGAGTTTGAGATCTAGATCTAGATCTTCTAAGGTTCTAGCACAATACTGGAGATGTGGTTCAAGTAGTGGGGAACCAGATAAGAAACCAAGTCAGGGGGCTGGGAAGGTGGCTCAGTGGTAGAGCGCTTGCCTTGCATGCATGAGGCCCTGGGTTTGATTCCTCAGCACCACATAAGCAAAAAAAGAAGCCGGAAGTGGCACTGTGGCTCAAGTGGTAGAGCGCTAGCCTTGAGCTGAAAAACTGAGGGACAGCACCCAGGCCCAGAGTTAAGGCCCATGACCAGACCCCGCCCCCCCCCCCAAAAAAAAGGCAAGTCAGGGGAAAGGGGAAAGGAAATGAACAGAAGAGGAAAAGTCAGACTGAAGTACATTGTATACCTGCATGGAAATGTTACAACATAACCCTGTGTACCAGAAATGTATGCTAATAAAAACCTGCAACAACTAAATGGAGTGCACTGGTTTGTTGGAACTCCCAAGAACAATGAGAAGGCCAGTGTTCTACCACTTGAGCCACAGTTCCACTTCTAGCATATTTGATAGCTCTTTGGAGATCAGAATCTTATGGACATTACTGCCTTGGCTGGCTTTGAACTGGGACCCTCAGATCTCCGCCTACTGAGTAACTAGGATTATAGACATGAGCCACTGGTGCTGGCTCTCCACCCATTTTCAAACAATATTTGATAGGTTTCATTAGGCTATATTCAAATATATAAAATGTATTATAATGTATAATACATATACTTCTCTTGAAGTTATTGTACATTATATATGTACATACTTATAATATATTTAGAAATATATATATAAAATATATGTTTATAATATATTTAACAAAATTATATAATATGTACTTAGATCTTGTAAAATATATAAATATGAATTCATAATGATATACTATATATGCTTGTATATAATATACATATTATATATGTTATATATATTATAAAACATATTACCCAACATAGTAATCCTTATATTCATTTCCATGATTGTCCTTCAATAGATGAACAGAAACAAAAGAGCTGGCCCATTATGTATATGTATACTCAAACCCAGTGGAGTTTTATCCAGCTCTAAGAACAAATTACATAATTTTTAGAAAAATTATTGAAATAGAGAACACTGCTATACCAGGATCAGTGCTCCACATGTGAACAATACTTGCTGTCTTAAAACTATAAGGTTATTGTTCAAAGGAGTTACAAAATTAAGACCAGGAAGCTGTCAGGGGTGTGGGGAGGGCGTCAAGAAGAGGGAGGAAGGGCTAGGAATGTGGCCTAGTGGTAGAGTGCTTGCTTAGCATGTATGAAGCCCTGGGTTCAATTACTTACTACCACATAAACAGAAAAAGCCAGAAGTGGTGCTGTGGCTTAAGTGGTAGAGTGTTAGCCTTGAGCAAAGGAAGCTCAGGGACAGTTCTGAGTTCAACACTCAGGACTGACACAAAAAAGAGGAAGATGAACCAAAAGTAGTGGATGCATGCAGTCGTAATAGTGTCCATATATGAAAGTAGAACCAGATAACCTGGGATGGATAGGGCTGGGAGAGATGGAGAATGATGGACGAAGTAACATTGATCAAGATGCATTGTACTTGTAAATGTACATGTTAAATCAAAAGTCTTTTGCATGACTTAGTGATAATAAATTAGGGTATCAGTGGCTTACCCTGTAATCCTACCTACCCAGAAGACTGAGATCTTGAAAATCATGGTTCAAAGCCAGACAGGCCAGTAAAATCCATAAGACATTTCCAATTAACCACCCAAAAAGCCAGAAGTAAAACTGTGGCTCAAGTGGCAGAGAGCTAGGCTTGAAAAAAACATCAAAAGCTCAGGGTCAGAGTTCTGAGTTCAAGTGTAAGGTGCAGCACACACAGAGTAAAGAAAAAAGACCAAAAGCCATTGATAATATTAACAGTAATGTAACAATGAGGAGTTGTAATTTCATAATACCCATGTATATTTAAAGTTACACCCATAGGCAATCAGGCTGCACGTTCATATCTACAAGTTAGATTTCCTGATCAGATGCAATCGAGGTAGAAGCTCTGCTGAAAGGTTGGAACTTATTTGAAGATGAAGGGTTCTGGGTACAAGATGAGCAGAAACCATGGAGAGAATCTTGTCTGTGTGGGCCAGAAGCCATCCTGAATTCCTCTCTGCAGTAGCTCTGTCAGGAAATTGACTCCTGGGATTAGAATAATATGAAAGGCTTTCTGATAATGGCCAACTTTGGATATTGAGCCCCAAGGGACATAAGAATCTTAGGCAGTGACCAGGGGAAAAAAAATCTCAGCCATCAGCACTGCCCAGGTAGCAAATAATAGCTTCAGCTTCGAGAGATGTTCCTTCTGTATCTCGGCCATTGCCTTGCTTGGGGGGATGCCAAGAAATCTGTCTTCCTCCAGGTGAAGTTCTTACCCAGATGAGGAGACTACCAGCATCCTCATGCAGCTAGCCATGTCCATCTGTGCCCCTGAAGTGGGGAACCAGAGTCAGGGGTTTGCTAAAAGTCTTATCCAATGGATTTTACCTTTGAAAGCCTGGTTTTATAACAACTGTGAGTATGGGTATCTTAATTATTTTCTCTGTCTTGAAAAAAGTATTCTCTGCATTTTTAAATTAGAGATTTCTTTAATACACACTTGTCATATAGCACATACATAGCATCAGTGTTAGTTTTTTTTGTTTTAAATATAAGTGCATGTAAATTGTTAGATTTTTTTCTTATGTAATAATCTTTTCATTTGTTTTGTGATTCATATATGTCCTTTCCTCATAAAACAAATCTTATTGCAGCATTATTCATAGCTAAGATATAGGACCAACTTGGATGTCCCTCAGTAGATGAACGAATATATGTACATATAAAATGGAATTCTATGCTTCCATCAGAAAGAATGACATCATCCATTTGTTAGGAAATGGAAAGACTTAGAAAAAAATTATATTACGTGAAGTAAGCCAGGCCCAGAGAAATATAGGTCTGATGGTCTCCCTTATTTGCAGTAACTAGTATACATCTAGGATAATCATCAGATGAGTAGTAAGATGATGCTAAGCAAAGTGAACCCCAAGATATAGACACAAGAGGTTTTTCTTTGTTGTTTTTCAATGTAGTGTGATTTTTTTTTTTGTTTCTTTTGTATGCTCTTCCCTCTATGGTATGTCTTCTGTTGTCATTGTATTTGATTTTGGTACTGTGCATCTTTTATGTAAATTATCTGATTTGGGGAGGGTAAGGGGAATAACAAAATGCTGAAACAAGGACACAGGATCACTGATTGCAACAACGGATACTCACAAAAAAAAAATCTAAGAAACACAGAGAGAAGGAAATCTGATCATGAAAATTAGGCTTCCTGTGAGCTTGCTGCTTTGCAGTCACCTTCATCTCATACATGTCTGCTATGTTTTCTCTGACAGTCCACCAGATCTCATTTTGCTGGACTTCTCTCCCTACCCCTGCCTCCTCCTCTTCTCTTTCTCTCTTCCCTCTCTCCCAGTTCTTTCCCTCCTCTCCTATCTCTTTTCCCCCTCTCTCCTCGGACTTTATCTCTTTGTCTGTCTCTCCATCCCTTTTTCTCTCACTTTTTTTTCTCTCTTCTCTCTCCCCCTTTTTCTCCTGTTTCTCTACCCCTCCCTTTGTCTCTCTCTGTGTCTCTATCTCTCTTCTTTCTGTTCCTCCTCCTCTTAGTCTCTCTGCCCCTCTGTTTCTCCGTGTTTTTTCTTGTCTCTGTGTCTGTGTCTCAGAGTTTCTCTCTGTGTCTGTCTCTCCTTTCTCTCCATGACTGAAAAGACTGAAAACAATTTTAATAATTAAAATAAGGCCCATTCTTTTTTTTTTGTCAGTCATGGGGCTTGAACTCTGGGCCTGGGTGCTGTTTCTCAACTCTTCAGCTCAAGGCCACAGCATCACTTCCCGTTTTCTAATGGTTTATTGGAGATAAGAGTCTCACGTACTTTCCTGCCCAGGCTGGCTTTGAACCATAATCCTCAGATCTCAGCCTCCTGAGTAGCTAATATTACAAGCATGAGCCACTGGTACCTGGCAAAAGGCCAATTCTAAAATGTGATGACCCATAAAATATTCTTACACTTACTTAATTTTGGTTAGTGTTGGGGAATTTTGGTCACTGTGTGAGAATCAAGATCTGCTCTGAGTATGATAGAATAGATGGCTTAACAGATATTAATTTCCACAGCTTGGAGATCTCTGAGAAGTTCTGGCTTCTCCTGGGACTTCTCTCTGTAGCTGGCAGATAATCAAGATTCTCTGTGCTTTCTTGCTGTGCATCTGAGTGCTAATTTCCTCTGCTGACATAGTCATTGGTTATAATGGATTATGATTAATTGTAATGACCACATTCCAAGTGAATTAATTTTCCCAATGCTGTCATGTTTGATAGTCATGTGGATTCAGATTTCAGCAAAATATCCATGGAGTAGCCAGGTTCAGCCTGTGATAAATAGCATTTCTATTTGCCTTGCTACCTTCTTGATCTCTCATCACCCAGATTTTGTCCCATTCCTGTAGAGAGGGCAGTGTGAACTTTAAAGATCCAGATAGGGTTGCTCAAAGGCTCACTTAGAAGCTTCATAGCCCCACAATTTTTGCTTTCTGAAGCCACCAAATCTTTGCCATAAGCTCAGCTGTAAGAAGGACATTAACTACTAACAAGATCAAATAACCATCTTTGCAGAATTAAGAAATGATGACTAATGTCTATTTCAAGTCTTTAAAAAAGATTTTGGTGTCAATCCTGGGTCATGAATGGAGACTCAAGGCTTTGTGCTCAAGGCTGGCGCACTACCAGTTGAGCCACAGTTCCACTTACTGGCTTTTTGATGGTTAAGTGGAGATAAGAATCTCATGAGGTTTTCTTGACTAGGTTGGCTTCAAATCTCTAGCCTCAGATCTGAACCTCCTGAGTTGCTGGGGCCCAGCTACAAGTCTTTAAATAAAGTATTCATGATGAATACACAGAATCACAATTTGACTAATCCACTACACTCAGTATTTTTTTTCTTGTCTTTTCCAGGGTGTGCCAGGTTGAATGTCATGGTGTCTCTTTGCACAGCTCTCTAAAAGACAATAACCACATCCTCTCTCAGGAGGCAATGGAGAAGTAAATTATGCTGGGGAAAAACAGTTTCATCATCTCAAGTGAGTCTGGGTCATCATTATCAACAGAAAAAAAATTAAGATTAAAACAAAGTAAGACACCATTTGTTAATTGCCTACATAGGACTGGGGTTCAAAGCCAGTCAGGCAGGAAAATCTGTGAGACTCTTATTTTCAATTAACCACCAAAAAGTCAGAAGCGGAGCTGTAGCTCAAATAATGGTAGAGCACCAGACTTGAGCATAAAGAGGCTCAAGGACAGCACTCAGGCTCTTTGTTCAAACTCCTGGACTGGCACACACACACACACACACACACACACACACACACACACACACACACACACACACACACACACACACACACACACACAAATTGAGTATGATAGATTTTTCTGTTATCACTAACCAAGAAACCAAGCATTTTAATTTTTTTCAATGAATCGTTTTTCCTCTCAAGTTCACAAGCAACATGGAGATTATAAATCAAACAGCGGTTCTGGATTTCCTTCTTCTGGGACTGACAGATGATCCCAAACTCCAGCCTTTCATCTTGGTCCTCTTCCTGTCCATCTACCTGGTCACTGTGCTCGGCAATCTGCTCATCATCCTGGCTGTCATCTCCGACTCCCACCTCCACACCCCCATGTACTTCTTCCTCTCCATCCTCTCTTTCAATGACATCTGTGTGAGCTCAACCACCATCCCCAAGATGCTGGTGAACATCCACACCCAGGACCAGAGCACCACGTATGCAGGCTGCCTGGCTCAGGTCTGCTTTGTCATGATTTTTACACTCTTGGAAAATTTTCTGTTGGCAGTGATGGCCTATGACCGCTATGTGGCCATTTGTCACCCCCTGCGGTACACGGTAATTATGCACTCTCGCCTCTGTGTCCTGCTGGTTTAGGGTTCTGTGTTCATTAGCATGGCTGATGCCCTGCTCCACAGTCTCATGGTGTTAAGGCTGCCATTTTGCACACATTTACACATCCCCCACTTCTTCTGTGAGTTTGCTCAAATCATCAAGCTCCCCTGTTCAGAAACTTTCATCGATAACATCCTGATCATGGTGTCAGTTTCAGTCTGTGGTGGTGTTCCTCTGTCTGGAATAATTTCCTCTTATATTCACATTGCATCCTCCATCCTGCGCATGTCCTCGTCAGGAGGGAAGCACAAAGCCTTCTCCACCTGTTGTGCTCACCTATGCGTTGTCTCCTTGTTCTATGGGACAGGTATTGGGGTGTACATCAGCTCTGCTGTTACCAACTCCCCTCAGAAAATGGCAGTGGCTTCAGTGATGTATGTTGTGGCCCCTCAAATGCTGAACCCCTTTATCTACAGCCTGAGAAATCAGGACATGAAAGTTGCCATGAAGAATCTTGCTAGCAGGAGGATTGCTTCTCTGTGGTGATGTGCTGTTTGGTTTGTCCTTAGGTTTCAGAGGCAAGTCAAAAATAACTTAACCTGAATCCTGGTGAGCCTAAACAGCTGATTACCTCTGTGACTACATATTTCTAAATAGATGGGAAATGTAATGATCGGGGACCTTTATACACTGGATTTCAAACTTTCTTTTTATTTTGTTTTGCTGGGTGAAGTTTGACACAGGATTTCATTTCCTCCTCCTCCTCCTCCTCCTCCTCCTCCTCCTCCTCCTCCCCCCCCCTCCTCCTCCCCCCCCCCCCCTCCTCCTCCTCCTCCTCCTCCTCCTCCTCCTCCTCCTCCTCCTCCGGCTTGAACTCAGGGTCTGGGTGCTGTCCTTTGCTTTTTCACTCAAGGTATTTTTCACTCAAGGTAGTGCTGTACCACTTGAACCACAGAACCGCTTTTGGCTTCTTGGTGGTTAATTGGACATATGAGTTTCAGAGATTTTTCCCTGCCTGGACTGGCTTTGAACTTCATAATCCTCAGATCTTGGCCTCTTGAGTAGCAGGGATGATAAGTATGAGCCTCTGGTGTGGCTTAAGCAAAGTTTTGGTTTCCTATCTGGAGAATAGCTTCAGTTCATGTAAATCCCATGAGAAAGTGAGGTTGGTGTTACACAGAGTAGCATAAATTCACAGATACAATGTGACAAGATTCATTTAAGTATGTATTTATTTTTACTGGCTTTTCATTGGGTAGGTAATTTCTTCACAGATTGCAGTATAAGCAGGCTGACCAGGTAACTTCTTGAGAGTCAGCAAATCCCTTCATTTGGAAAAGAATCATGGTGCACCCATTGGCAAAAAGATGGAGAGAAAATGCATTGGAGGGTCCATTGTGGATGGTATGGTCATGAGACTTTTTAGAATGTTCCATCTTAATAGATTGCCCTAGAAATACTAGAGAGAGACCACTGGAATAACCTCAAGTATTTTTTCCACCCAGCAAAAGATGGAGTCTGTATCATTTGGACTGAATAAACCATAGCATCAGAAAACCAGAAAATGAACAGCTGTTTCAGAATTCCTTCTCCTGGAATTTATAAACTACTCAGAATTACAGCCCATCATCTTGAGCCTCTTCCTGTTTGTGTACTTGATCACTGTGCTGGGAAACCTGCTCATCATCCTAGCCATCAACTCTGACCCCCACACCCATACCCCCTCATGTACTTCTTCCTCTCCAGCCTCTCCTTCATTGACATCTATTTCATCACAACAACCACCCCCCAGGCACTGGTGAATATCCACACACATATAGGACCAGAGAATTGCTTACATGGGGGTTGCCCCATTCAGGCTTTTGGTTTCTTGGAAAATTGTCTTCTGGCAGTGATGGCCTTTGACTCCTATGGAGTTACAAAGTCATCATGAACCCTTGCCTGTATGGTCCCACAGGTCCTATTCTCTTTGCTATTTAGCACAATGAACACATTCCTCATCAGGCTGATGGTGTTGCATCTGTCCTGTATATCTGTGGAGAGCTCCTACTTCTATGAACTTTCTTAGGTCATCAGATTCATCTGCTCCAACCTCTCCTCAGTGACCATGTGTCATATGTGTTAACTTTCATATTTGATATCATTCCTCTCTCTGGAATTGTTTTCTCCTCTGTTTTGAGAAAATTTTCAGGGTCTGTAGGCCAAAAAGACCTTTCCCACCTATGGCTCTCACTTGGTTGGTTCTGTGGGGGCTGGAGTGGGTGTGTACTTCAGCTCTGCTGTTATGACTCACCCAAGAAGATGGCAGTGGCTTCAGTGATGTTCTCTGGGGTCCCCAAAATGCTGAACCCCTTTATTCTTCAGCCTGAGGAATGGGGACAGAAAGAGGGCTCTGAAGAACAGTCCTTATAGGATTTCCTCTCTTCTGTGATATGTTCTGTGCTTTGTAATGGGTTATTAGAATAGTTAATAATTCTAGTGACAGAATTCCCAATGAGAAATCAAGTTCTTCCACAAGCACTATGTGACCCCCAACTTAAGGAAATTTCATCTCTCTTTTTTAAATTTGCCTGATTTTGCTCTAGTGTCTGGATTGGTGATATTTAGAAAATGCTTCTAATCCTCTAAACATGATATCTTTTCTCAAGTCATAAAATCAAAGTCTTGGCTAAGGGTCCTAGTTGTAGTTTGTTCTTTCTTTCTTTTTCTTTCTTTCTTTCTTTCTTTCTTTTTTTTTTTTTTTTTTTTTTTGTCGGTCGTGGGGCTTGAACTCCGGGCCTGGGCGCTGTCCCTCAGCTCTTCAGCTCAAGGCGAGCACTCTACCATTTGAGCTACAGCGCCACTTCTCTTTCTTTCTTTCTTTCTTTCTTTCTTTTCTTTCTCCCTTCCTTTCCTTTCTTCCTTTCTTTCTTTCTTGTACCCATTCTGGGGCTTGAACTCAGGGCCTGAGCACTATCTTTGAGCTTCATTGTGTTCAGAGATAGCCTTCTACTAATTTGGCCACAGTTCTACTTCCAGCTTTTTCTGAGTAGTTTCTTGAAGATAAGAGTTTCATGGGGGCTGTGAATGTGGCTTAGTGGTAGAGTGCTTGCCTAGCATACATGAAGCTCTGGGTCCAATTCTTCAGTACCACATAAACAGAAAAAGCCAGAAATGGTGCTGTGGCTCAAGTGTTAGAGTGCTAATTTTGAGCAAAAGCAGATCAGGGACAGCGCCCAGGGCCTGAGTTCAAGCCCCAGGACTAGTGGGAAAAAAAGAGTCTCATGGACTTTCCTGCCCAGAGTGGCTTTAAGCCATAATCCTCATATCTCACACTCCTGAAAAGCTAGGACTACAGGCATGAGCCATTGGTGCCTGGCTTTAGTGTTGTCTTTTTAACAAAATGTATATTGGCAATTTTCTTAACAAATATTAATTGTATGTATTTATGAGTATAGGATTCAATTTGAATACATATACTTCCTGAGTATTGATCAAATCTTGACAACTGGCAGAAGTTCCATATCAAGTAATTTTTATTTCATGTTGTTGGAAACTTGTAAACTTTTCTCACTTAGAAATAGTTGGGTCATTACTTTCCTGTTCTACAGAAAATGAGAAGTTTGTTTCTCCTCAACAACTTCCTCCTGTACTTGCTATGTCCTCTCTATTTGTACACTTTCCTTTGAGAAATGTGTAAATAAGTCATTTATTCATTTTTAAAATTATCTTTAAGTAGTTGTACAAGGGGCTTCAATTCAACCAGTTAATGTATGAGTGCAATACAACTTGATCAATGCCACCCCTTCTATCATTCTCCCCCATCTCTCCCAACCACTTATCCCCTCAAATCTTCACATTATATACATTGAACATTATCACTGTATTGTCCCATACTTCCTCTCTCTACTTCTCTGCTCATCCTCCCCATCTTTGGCCCTCCATCCTCCCCTAACAAAACAGGTTCCAGCTCCCTAGTTCTCATTTTATTAAACTATAAGATTTTTGTTCAAAGGAGTTACACCCTGAAAACTTTCCCTGCATAGATCATACTTTAGTTAAGCCCATGTGGAAAAGTCTTTGCACTTTGTTCCCCAGAGGGTGATCTCAAGACTGAACACATGTTGTGAACATAAAAGAACATGATTTCAGAGAGAGGGAC